GGGCACCAAGACAAAAAGCCAGGTGCCCCAGAATGGAGTTTGGGGCCCTTGAGATGATGTACCCTCAAGTCTAATTATTCTTAAACCTCTTCTTTTAAATTTGCAAAGAGTGAAGCTGTTGCTTTTCCCTCTATACAGTGAATGTATAAAAAGTGACAACAGAAAGTCTGGGGACAACGGAACACTCTGTTACCACTTCAGGGCTTTTATAACAGGGTACAGTGCCAAGCCAGCCAGAGGGGCGGGTAGCCTGGCCAAGCATTCTCCACCCAGCAACTCCGAAAAGAGTTTCACACTGTTGACTTAATTATGCCTTCTTTAATATTACTGTTTTATCTTTAAAAGCAATTAGCTACTTAGTGTCCTTTGCAGTGGAGAAAAGGAGATTGAGGATTTAGGGGCTGGTTTTTCCAACTTGTTGTTTCTGACTTGTTGTCACTACATCTTGCCAGTCATGAGGTTTGCTTTCTTAGATTTGGTCAGATCTAGATTTAGATTTAGATTTGGTTAGATTTAAAGTCAGAAGCAGCCCTCAGGGTCCTGCCCCTGCCCCCCTTCCCTGATTGTCTGCCGGCCTTCAGTGGGACCCGGCCTTGTTCCCAGATCCGTGTCAGATCCAAGCACATCCCAGGGAAGGCAGGCATAGGTGGCTGGGAGCTTTTCAAGAGAGCCCCTCATTAGCCCACATCATACCAACTCTAGGAGACCTGTGCTACTGTGAATCCCCACATTACAGATGCAGGAATTGAGGCACAGGAGGCAGGGTACCTCGGCCCAATTCCCGCAGCTAGTTTCTGATGAAGCATCTTGTGCCCAGTCTGATTCTAGAGCTCCCCCTCCGAACTACCCACTAGGCCAAGATAAATCCTGCCTGATGCTGTGACCTCCACATACTGAGCACGGAGCCTTGTGTGTATTGCTCATTCTCAGAGCAGTGCCCCATGGGGCTGCTAACAGAAAGAGAGAGGGAAGGAAGGAATGAATCTCCAAATATGTTTGGTTTATTTGGGAATAGAGAATAGGATTATAATTCGCAGTGCATACCATGGCAAGCCACGAGGGCATGCCGTGAGGCAGGGAGGAGAACGCTTTTGTTGGCAGGAAGGGAGCAGTTCACGTAGCTGCTTGGAAACAGGGCATTGGTCTCAGAGGCTCAGAGCCAGGCTTGTCATCAGTTCACTGGTTGAGATGCTGTTACTGGACAAGATTCTTCTGGAAGCATCTTATCTGAATTACTGTAGTTCTAAAGAATGTATAATGATAAACCTTGTCACAGAAGTATGTGTGTACGTGCAAAGCAGGACATGCATGAAGGACATGAAGAGATTTCTGATGGGTCTCACAAAAGTCCTTGCAATTCTTGTCTCAGACAAGCAAGCACGAGATCCCTTCTTTGTGCCTTTCCCGACTCTGTTTTGTCTGGGTCTGATGGAAAGTGATTTCATCAACTTTCACAGTCCAGATGAGGAAAGTGAGTCTTAAAAAGGTGATTACCTGCCCGAGGTCACTGAGCTAGCAGGTGCCTGAGCCAGGATGGAACTGCAGGTCTCCACCCCCTCCTGGTAGGACCCAGATGCCTGTGCAGTGGGCCCCTCTGTATCCATGGGTTTAGCATCTGCAGGTTCCACATTTTAAATGATACAGTATAACAAGTATTTACATAGCAGTTATACTGTATTAGGTATTATAATTAATCTATAGACAATTTAAAGTCTATGGGAGGATGTGTGTAGGTTATATACAAATATTACACTATTTTATATCAGGGACTTGAGCATCCAAGAATTTTGGCATCCGAGGGGTTCCTGGAACTAGTCCCCTGAGGATACTGAGGGACGACTACATTCCCTGAACAGGTTTACCCTGGAAAATAGCTGCATGTGATATCGATCTTCTCCCTGCTGAACTGTGAGTTGCTATGGGGTACGTGCCCGGACCTGCCCAAGAGAACATTCCACATCCTGCCCTGTGCGAGGTGCCTGAGCTCTCCATGAACCAGGGAAACCCCAGGCTGCTCCCCAGGAGCCTTGGCCCAGGGAGGTTACACTGACAGCTGAGATAGAAACCCTCATTTTCTTCCAGAATGAGCCCCAGCACTGCCTAAGTGGTTACTGAAGGAATAGCTGGAGCAGTTCAGAGTGATCCTTTCTAGAACTGCCAGCTTTAAAAGGCTCCAAACGGGTTATTATGCTATGCCTAAGTTCCAGGTAACATTAGCCTTTGTGCCGTACATATTCATGTTCTTTACACACATTCTCATCAAGATTGCTGGTATGTATAATGGTTTTCTTGGTGGTCCGTCTCTGGGGCTTGTTTCGTTTGTGGTCAGCAGGCCCTGTGAGTTTGGGGAGGCAGCTGAAGAGCGCTGTGTTGGGCAGAGTGGGCAGCACAGGACTGAGGTCCCGTAACAGGAGCGTGTGTGCCTTTCTGGCTGTCCCCGTCATGGGTGCAGGGTGGCTCAGTCTCCTGTCTGCCCTGCCCCTCGTGGTCTTGCCAGCATGGCCTTCTGTGGCATCTAGAAGGAGTAGAGGTGGACATGTGACAAAGCACATCTCAGCGTCTAGTGCTCAGACTCCATGTAGACCTTTGTGGGGATGGCCATAGAGCCACTGAGGGGCGAGGAGTGAGTTTGAAGAACAATGCAGTTAGGATTGAAAAGAAAATTAGAAAATTACTACCATGGGTGATTTGGGCAGGAAAAGTGGTACATAGACTTAGGGAGACATGAAATACACACTTCAACGTAATTGAACTTTCCTAGAGAAGATAATGTTTATTGTAATTGCAGATAAAGTCATTTGGAAACTGAGGAAGGAAGGGACGTTGGGGTCACTGCTTTGGGTAGTGGGAGGCATGCATTGGTGAAGGAGTCATGTTCAGTTTTATAATTAGCACATTTATAAGGCATTGTTTGGATTCATTTGTATCTTCCAAACTCCTGTTTTTCTTGTATGCTAATGTATTTTAATAAAGTTCTTACCTGGAGACCAGAGATGTATTTCCTTTGTTTAAATTAAATTTTATTTTTATACATTTAGTTATGTCCACTGTATTTGAATATTTAGCTTGTTATGTGGATGTTATACTTTGGTAGAGTGAAACAAAGACTCCAGAAAAGGGATGGATGTATTTCTTTAAAAATGAATGTGAATTGAAAGTCAGTCCCTGGGTCCTGACCCAGCCCCAGAATTTCTCTGAGTTGGGGAAGTGGCTGAGAGGTGGCAGGCAGGGGGTCGTTACCCCACCCGAGAGCCCAGTCCTACCTCCCCTCAGAGCTTAGCCTGCTGCTGCTGCTGTGGCTAAAGCCCCTTGACCTAGGCTGAGAGGTGGCAGGCAGGGGGTCGTTACCCCACCCGAGAGCCCAGTCCTACCTCCCCTCGGAGCTTAGCCTGCTGCTGCTGCTGTGGCTAAAGCCCCTTGACCTGGGAACTTAAGGCTTGAGTAACTTTAAATCCTTTCTGGCACAGCGTGACAGTTGGCTGGCAGCGGTGGGGAGGTTGGGGGCCATCCTAATAGAATGGTGCAATCACAGTGTCCGCCTGCCCTACACCCCTGACGCAGGGGGTCCTGCCATCCAGCCCTTGCCCTCCGCGAAATCAAAGTTCACACAAAGTAAGTAAGTGTGTGGATCAAAACTCGTGCAGAACTTCTAGGGAGGCAGAGAGGATGGGAGGGGGTTCATCAGGATAGGCCGACTCCCACGGCCCAGAGGGAGACCCTGCTCCACAATTGTCACCAAGGCCTTAATTGTGGAGACAGATTATTGGGAGATTCGGCAGATAGGTCTAGGGTCAGAGAATGCACGTGCTTCTGCATCTGAGCAGCTTGCACATGATTTCACTGCCGTGGGAAAACATTGAGCACGATCTTTATGACCGATGGGTTTCAGCATTGTGTTGTGGCCCTTGTCACTATCCTTGGCACACCCCCAGGTCTCCATGCATGGACATGGGAGAGGAGCCCATGGTGATCACATCAGTGCCGGGAGGTCTGCGATTGGCTTGCCTGGCATGGCTCCCTTCACTACCTGGGAAACCAGGTGTGGGGCATCTGAGAGCCCTGTTGCCCAGAGACAGCCTGCCTGCTGGGGCGCATGTGGCCCCACACAGCCAGCTGGGGTGGCATCCCCACCTGGGCGGAGGGGCAGGCCTGCCAGGGTGGTGGGGAGAGACCAGGAACAAACTCCCTCGCAAGAGGGGATTGTGATTTAAAATACCATCCTCTTCCTATGACTGCTTTTTCTGTGCTGTTGAGGTAAGATTTTTAAAAGCATCTCACGTTGCTCTAAAGGTCACATCCTGTCACTGTTGTAGTTGGGGCAGATTATATTTATAATCCTCTGGACTGTCCCTTTGTCTGAGAGCTGTTCAGTTTTAATGGATGTGAACATACCAGGAAAATGAAGCTTGCTTGTAATTTTGTAGGGGGGGGATTTTATGACCATGCACTTACTACGCCCTTCTTTCTGTTATTTTAAATTTTAGCATATTCCTATTACTTTATCTGCACTTCATCCTGAGCCTTTGCGGATGTGAGGTGGGGGGAAGGGAGGGCCTGTGGAGCATCAGAAGTTATGATGGGACGAGGAGGACCTCTGGGTTGTTCTGTCGCTTTGCTTGTTTTTGCAGTTGGTTCAATTATAATGTCCAGCGCCGAGGCCACCAGCAGTATTTTAAATGAATCCTGTCTCTTCCTAAGACAGGTTGTTAGTGGTGTGGCCGTGTGCTGTATGTTTCCATGAGGTATCCTGGGCACTTTAAGAATGTCATGTCCTAGTCCTTCCTGCTGCACCCCATCGGAGGTGGCAATGGCGGGGAGGGAAGAGAGAGTGCTTGCCCCTCGTCCTGTGTGCCTGTGGCCGGCAGTGTCCATTCACCTAGAGACACAGCCATACATGTGTTAGAGCTCTATGGTTTTTACCTTTTACTGTTTTGTTTCAGTTTTTATTTCTTGGGGACCCAAAGTTGTTTATCTGTACATGTTCCCTTTCTGTGTTGCAGGATGTTAAAGTCTTTAGTGAAGATGGGACGAGCAAAGTGGTGGAGATTCTAACAGACATGACAGCCAGGGACCTGTGCCAGTTGCTGGTTTACAAGAGTCACTGTGTGGATGACAACAGCTGGACACTAGTGGAGCATCACCCGCACCTCGGATTAGGTAGGAGTGGTCCGAGGCGGGGACAGCACCTGGTGATGCTCAGCGTGTATTCACATATAGACTGCTGCTGCCAAATGTGTGACAGCCACATCCCCTGCCAGATCGGCAGGCACTCTCTGCATCACCCTCCACTCTCTTGCCTCCTCTCTTTCTCCTGAAATTTTGCTTTCCTCCCTCCCAGCCCTCTCCCCTCTGGTGCTTTGAGAATCTTGTCTTGGTTGGCTAAAGCAATAACTCCCCAAGGGCTCAGACACAGCGAGATGGTTCCCTGTGATTCAGTGTCCCTCCCTGCTGTCAGAGCCACCTGGGCTTGCTGCACACCTATGGGCCGGGGATGGTGGGAGGCAGCCTCCCGGTGCCCAGGGCAGACACAGCGAGATGGTTCCCTGTGATTCAGTGTCCCTCCCTGCTGTCAGAGCCACCTGGGTGCCCAGGTGGAGCAGGTCACTTGCAGGCTTGCGGCTGCCACTCCCCAGAGAGCAGCTCATCCTGCTGGTAGGAAGAAGGGAGCTGTGGTTACAGGTTGCAGCCATGCACAGGGAGACCCCTGGGAGTCAGAGTGCATTATAAAGCATCTTCTTCTTAGGTTGTCTCACATGGCAGCCTCTCTCCAAGCTGGTTAGTAATGCCTTGACAGTGTGTGCCTGTGTGTGTGTGCACGCATGCATATGGGTCCAGAGAGCAAGAGGATGTCTTATGTCATGGGATATGTACTCCCTACAGAATGTATTGAGGGGTTTTGCTTGTTTTGTTTGCTCAGGTGATCTATTTCAGGTATAGAAGCTTTTCAGACTTTTCTTTAAATTCTTATTAATCAAAGAATGGTGCTTACAAAATCATAGGCAAGTATTTAAAACCAGATTTTTATGAAAAATCAACAGCTAGGAGAGAAGGAAAGAAAACACAAACTGCCAATTTTCCATAGTTCTAAATTCTTCTCATGAACCTTTTTGAAAGACGAATGAATTGGCTTCACACCTCTAGGTCTGGAATAATCATTTAACTGAGTAGCATTCTTCCCAGTCATATCATCCAGTTGAAGCCTAAGTAATGCAGTGTGAATTGGAGTTGACATTACTTTAAGTCCCTGTTTTCTAGCTCCCCCTGTACTGTTAGATGGTGTGCTTCTTAACGTAAGCGGATAGAATTGCTGATTTATTTTCCACCTCTACTGATCACCAGCATATTTGTGTGATAACAGAGCCTTCCCCTGCCAGGTTCATTCACTGGTTCCACAGTTGTGACTGTGGTCTCACAGTCGTTCCCATGAGACTGTCCTGTCAAGCTCCGGTTGGAACATCCGTGAGTGGATCCTGTGTTGGTGTGATAAAGCTGTCAGAAGCTTCTGCTGACACACATATAACTTGGAAATTAAGTAATAGTGGGAAACCTACAGAGTATGTGCATATGTGTATATTATGTACATAAATGAAAAAACATACATATAATATATATAAAAAAAAAANACAGGGAGACCCCTGGGAGTCAGAGTGCATTATAAAGCATCTTCTTCTTAGGTTGTCTCACATGGCAGCCTCTCTCCAAGCTGGTTAGTAATGCCTTGACAGTGTGTGCCTGTGTGTGTGTGCACGCATGCATATGGGTCCAGAGAGCAAGAGGATGTCTTATGTCATGGGATATGTACTCCCTACAGAATGTATTGAGGGGTTTTGCTTGTTTTGTTTGCTCAGGTGATCTATTTCAGGTATAGAAGCTTTTCAGACTTTTCTTTAAATTCTTATTAATCAAAGAATGGTGCTTACAAAATCATAGGCAAGTATTTAAAACCAGATTTTTATGAAAAATCAACAGCTAGGAGAGAAGGAAAGAAAACACAAACTGCCAATTTTCCATAGTTCTAAATTCTTCTCATGAACCTTTTTGAAAGACGAATGAATTGGCTTCACACCTCTAGGTCTGGAATAATCATTTAACTGAGTAGCATTCTTCCCAGTCATATCATCCAGTTGAAGCCTAAGTAATGCAGTGTGAATTGGAGTTGACATTACTTTAAGTCCCTGTTTTCTAGCTCCCCCTGTACTGTTAGATGGTGTGCTTCTTAACGTAAGCGGATAGAATTGCTGATTTATTTTCCACCTCTACTGATCACCAGCATATTTGTGTGATAACAGAGCCTTCCCCTGCCAGGTTCATTCACTGGTTCCACAGTTGTGACTGTGGTCTCACAGTCGTTCCCATGAGACTGTCCTGTCAAGCTCCGGTTGGAACATCCGTGAGTGGATCCTGTGTTGGTGTGATAAAGCTGTCAGAAGCTTCTGCTGACACACATATAACTTGGAAATTAAGTAATAGTGGGAAACCTACAGAGTATGTGCATATGTGTATATTATGTACATAAATGAAAAAACATACATATAATATATATAAAAAAAAAAACTTTAAAACTGAGTCCGTGTAGTTGGACCCAAATATAGTGAATGTTGTTGAAAGCCCAGTCAAAAGTCTGAACATTCTTTTTTCTTGAGAGGAGCTGTGGAGGCTATTTCTGCAGATATTTAATACATGAATATAATTGAACACACAGCACATAGAAAATGGGAGCAGATACAAAGAAAAATTTTAACAGGGAACGTTTCAGAAATGTTGATTCATATATTTCTTGTGATACCCCTTGATTTCTAGAACACCGTGCACTGGATAAATAAATTAATATGTTAAAACTTCGGAAATAATCAACCGAATGAAGAACAGCTTACTCTGAAGGAGCAGAAAAAGAAATGTCCATGTGCACACAGTATCTTAGGGATGTGATATTTACACACCTTGATCTTGTTCTTTCTTGCGCACTGATGCACTTAACACTTAAAAGGGGGATAATTATTTTTAAATCAAGAAAAAAAGGGGGAGGGAGAAAAAGAGGGGAGCCAGTGAAATGATTTAAAAACAAAGGAACATTGGGATCAAATTTTGGGTCCTATTTGACAAAACAAAATGAATAAACCTCACACAGCCGGGATTTAGAGACACATGAAATCCCCTAGAACATACTTCTTTAGTTTTCTCTCACACCACCAGTCCTTCCTCCTTAGCAACAGGTGAACCCACTGGCTGGGTTTTGTGGAGGATTTGGCTTATTTTCAGAGCCACCTAAGCGCACCTCCTGCAGGGTCAGCACCTGGGATATGCTCCACTGCCCACCCAGAGCTTCTGCATCCCCATCCCTGTGGCTTCTGTGGGTGTTCTTTTTGTTTGTGGTCCAAGCCACAAACGCATTTAATTTTTTTTTTTAATTAGTTAAATTTTAGGTGACAATCCTATGTCTTCCGTGATCCTGCAATATTCCATTATCAGAGCCCATTAGCAGTGAAGTGTAGGCACCTGGAGTACCTTTTAGAGAGCTCTGAGGGTGTCTTACTGTTAAACCCCTGGGAATGGGGTGCAGAGCCACAGCTCTGAGGGATTCTTCTTTGCAGCGGATGGTGCTCTGGTGTGTGTTCCTGAGTCCTCTGGTGCACACGGAATCACCTGTTCTCAGGGTAGCACCACCCTCCCCACATCCCCAAGCATTGCTATAGCGACATGGACACACACAAGGCCAGTAGGCAGTACTTGCAAATCCATAAGGCAGATACCAAAGCAGATTTTTAACGAAACCCCCAATAATTAAGGGCATAAGGTACCCAGCTGACAGATTTTTAGTCTATGTACCACCTCAGAGCACAATTGCAGTACTGATCTTAGCAGCTAAAATATCAGATCCTTAAAGTTATTAAACCTTTTCCACACCCGGAAAGAAGTGATGGCTTTTAGGGCCGGCCCGGTGGCGCACTGGATAGTGCGCCGCTTGGGAAGCACAGCGGCGCTCCCGCCCGAGGGTTCGGATCCCACATACAGCCTGGTTCCCGCTCACTGGCTGAGCGAGGCGCGGGAGCAACACCGAGGGTTGCGATCCCGTTGCCGTGCCCGGTCCGGTACGGGGGCAACACTGAGGGTTGCGATCTGTTGCCGGACACGGAAAAAGAAAAAAAAAAAAAAAAAGGAAGTGATGGCTTTTAGGGCCGGCCCGGTGGCGCCCTGGATAGTGCGCCGCTTGGGAAGCACAGCGGCGCTCCCGCCCGAGGGTTCGGATCCCACATACAGCCTGGTTCCCGCTCACTGGCTGAGCGAGGCGCGGGAGCAACACCGAGGGTTGCGATCCCGTTGCCGTGCCCGGTCCGGTACGGGGGCAACACTGAGGGTTGCGATCTGTTGCCGGACACGGAAAAAGAAAAAAAAAAAAAAAAAAAAAAAAAAGGAAGTGATGGCTTTTAGAAAAGGTGGGGGCAGTTCCCTGGATAGCCCTAGGACATGCGTCTTTTTCCACTGGGAGAATAACGCGTATGTGCATGGGGTCTGCAGCCTCCAGGGTACCCCCCAGGGACGCTGGTGCCCACTGTGGGCAATAGCAGCAGCAGCCCTGCCATCGCTCGACTGGGCAGCACCCCTGGCTGGTGGGAGTGTGTCCTGCCCTCTGTACTGCAGAGGAGGACCTGTGACCAGAGCCAGGTCAGAGGTGCTGCCTAGTCCTCAGTGATGGCTCCTGAGGGACGAGTCACCTTGAAGAGTTGTGTAAAGCCCTCTCCTTCGCCGGCACAGCCCTCATTGATAGGTGGTCTTAGGGGAGCATGCTCTGTGTTTTATGACTCCCAAGGCCACCGCACCACTCTGCCACTCCCTTTAAGTGGTCTCTTTCTGTGTTAGCCCTTCCCACAGTCCTGCCTGCTGATGTTCCAGCCTCAGTGTCTGGGAGTAGAGCTCCCTGACCAAGGCCACTCAGCAGCCTTTAAGTGTCTAGCAGGGGTGCCAGCCTGGGGCAGATCCTTGGTAAGGTGTTCCCATCCTCCCTGCCCTGAGCACATGAGCTGCAGTCTCTGGATGGTCCACGTTAGCCAGGACAGCTTCACAAGTAGAGGAAGTAGTGGTAGGAAACAGTCAGCCTGCACATATGTCAAGCAAACAAATTATCTTTGAAAGGAGTTAAAAAAAAAAAAATACCAGTCAAGGTGGCATCTTCATGCCCCCCTGAACTTGAAAATGGGATTGCAGGTAAACTCTATCCCTGAGAGTGTGCCTGGTGTCACCTGGGGCTATCACACCCTGTCGCTGAGTGACCGCAGGCATCGGGCAAAGGACTAAAGGTCAGATCTTCCAGGAGAGACTGGAAGCTAAGCCCAGAGCACAGTAAAGAGAAAAGGGTTTCAGCCAGAACCTATGAATTTCAAGAATGTGAGGAATTCTCTTGTCCTGTGAATTAGGTTGAAACCCCTCAGGAGAAGCAACGGCTGTTGACAGATTTGTTTGGTCCTGGCCAGGTGAGAAATGATGTGACAGTGACTCTTTGGGGTCCTGTGACTGCTATGCCTATCCCCACTGACACCTGGACATGCAGGAAGGCGTGGAGGGGGAGACAGCCACTCTTGCTGACCCTTGGTGCTCAGAGGACGCCCACTGCAGGCTGATTTTCTATCTCTGTCTCCCTACCCGTTACATCTAAGAAACACCAAATGATGTCCTTTCCCCACTAGAATATATAAATAGAAAGAAGCCTCTCCCAGGGCTTACCCAGACGTCAGGGTGGATTTCTGCAGACATGCTTTCACGATCTCTCAGCCTGGGAAAGCCCCAAGTTGTCGACAGCTCTCTTCTCTTCCTTGGGTGGACTGTGCTGAGGACCAGCCGGGTGTGGCCAAAGGCTGGTTGGCATGCAAGCCTGGGGCACCCGTGAGGTGTCACGCAAAGACAGCACAGCTCACGGCACTGGGGCTGGTTCTGCTGCGACTCCTGCACTGCCCAGCTGGGCAGCTCAGGTTTCTGCAAAGAAGTCACACGTCAGCTGCCTATTTTAAGGCAAAAAGTAAGATTTTCTTTCTTGAGTTTTCCACTGTTTATAGGTATTTTTCCTGTGGAATAAGGTAGTGGCTGGACTTAGTTTCAGAAGTTTGAAAAATACAAATGTCCTTGGAAAAATTTTTGCCTCTCCCATTTGTACAAAAAGTACTCCTGGAATACCAGGATGAGAAGTAGTTGTCCAGTTTTACATAGGGCTACTGTAGTAATAGGATGATTATAGATAGTGACATGATTGTTTCGTAGAATCACCCAGGGCACTTGAAAATGTGTCTTTAGCATCATGGAGAAAATTAAAACAGGAGGAAAGAGCTTTGAAGTCCCACTGTCTAGGCGACTGACAGCTGTGAACAGTGGTGTCCAGGGGCAAATTTGTGGCCAGGGGCATGTGGCCACGGCCTAAGCTACACAGCACTGGGGTCTCTGGGAAAGGGACTCACTGGCCACATTGTCCACTGTCCTGACTTGCTGCAAGTGAGGAACGGGAACGGGTGCAGCTGGTTTTGATTGTGTTGGGACCCACCTCTAAGATCCCCGGCCCCCTAGGTCACCAGAATGACTAGAGTCAGGGAAGCACATATCTCTCAGGATATGCGGGCTGGTTTGGCAGTCCACCAGGTACATTAGTCCCCCAGTCCCCCTTTGCCAGGACACCAAGCCCTCGCCCATCCACCTGGAGTCTGACTGCCGTGTGTTTACACTGTCATGTGCAGCTTTCCCACGGTATTTCCAAGAAAGGGGCCAGGAGACAAGCAGGGTATCCGCAGGGACAGGAGCCTGTGTGTTTGGCCACGTGCCCCCTTAGGTCACGCAGCTCAAATCAGCTCCAGAATTTGCTTCTGTGTGCCAGTGTGGCCCACCCGAGACACACACCCATGGCAACAGTTGTCCTTTACAGACAGAAACTCACTTTGGCTTACAAATGCTTTAGCCCTAAACTTCGTTCCTTCCGTCTAGAGATTCAGTTCTAGCTGCATTAAAGGATGCAGGGGCTTTGAGGACAGCTGCCCGGGGTCACTTCGTAGCATCTTTGTCTATACCCTTTTGGCCTCAGTTCACACGTTGACCCTCCAGTAGACTTGCTCATATTGTTTATTCCATGATTTAATATGGTTAGTTCCCTGTGGCCATCGCCCTTCCCCACTCTGTCATTGCAGCTTTTGAGGCGATGCATGGGAGGGGTTTCACCACCACCCCAGCAGCACAGTTTCTCCAGGCTTACGTTGTTTTGGAGTATGCTGAGTTTTTCATGCTCCACGTGGAACCAGAGTGTTTCAAGCAGTGAGGGAAATATCTTTTCCAGAGTGATAATGCCACCGCCACTAAGATGCTCTGAAGTGTGTGTGCATGAGTGTGTGTGTATGAGTGTGTGTGAGTGTGTGTGTGTCCATCCTTCCTGCCTTCACATATAATCCAGTGGATGAGAACTATTCCGTGATGTGGTCAGTGTGGCTTCAGAAGGAAAGACAAGTATGTTTGCACAGACCATCTGCTGTATCACAGGCTCCTTCACAGGATATATTCCCCACGCAGTTTCCTACGATCAAGAAGCTTCTGTCACCTTCTGCTTCTGCCGCCTTCTCCTCCACACACCCACCCCACCTCTTACGAGCCCTGCTCGCTCAGAGTCCTTCTCACTTTGCTTTGCCTTTGAATATTGTCCTGGTTGTTATTGTATGTTCTTTGCAAGAGTTGAAATGTCTTAAGGGCAGAATCATCTGCTGGGAGTCTTTGTTGACGCTCCCCTTAACAGTTTGTTGATGCCAAATTTAAAAGAAGTATATAAAAGTAAGTATTGACCTGAATTCCTCATTCTGTACATTTTAAGACCTCTTGTATATTTGGTAATGTATGAAAGAGAGATTGAAATTAGTTTAGTTTCTGATGTCATCTTCGTTACAATGTTTAAAGATAGACAGAAAGTTAGCTGGATTTGGTCATTCGGTGTAAAACTGCCTTGAAGTGTCTCTGCCATTTTCATCTCACATGTGATTCTTTGCCCCTTCAGAAAGGTGCTTGGAAGACCATGAGCTGGTGGTCCAAGTGGAAAGTAACATGGCAACTGAAAGTAAATTTTTATTCAGGAAGAATTACGCGAAATATGAGTTTTTTAAGAATCCTATGGTGAGTCTTATCTCTTCAGCTTTGGGGTTTGGGACTCTTGAAATCTTGAAATTTATACTTGGGTTTAATAAAAGTATCAGATTATAAAATAACTGAGATTTATGGTGTAGCATATAGGTTTGAGAATCTGAGATTTGCTGTTGAACTAAGCCGTCCTTGCTTAAAACGCAACCTCTGCTGCTTAACTAAGTGCCTTTGTGACTGGCGAAAGCAGCAGTCTCCTTTTCCAAATAGCAACAATGGAGAGTGGATAAGTCTCCAAGTCAAGAGGAAGAGGAGAGACCAGGATTTTTCACTTATTTTGAAAGTTCCTTGTTAAACTGCAATAAATTAATCAAATATTCAGCAGAACTCCTTATTATTCTCTGCAAATAGCAACTATTACATTATGACTACAAGTGGAAGAATGAGCGAGTAATCAACACGGCTGATCGGTCCTTGATTCTCCTGTCCTTTTCTGTTTGCGGAGAGGTGTTTCTTGTGAAATACCAGGATAAGGGGACCTCGTAACTTTCACAGCCCTTGCTCTCATCCTCAGTCATGGGCAGAGTGGCATCCACTTACGAAGACCTGGGTCCACTTCTAGCTTTGAGAGTTTAGCTACCTTTTTATTCAAAAGTAAGAAATTTGATAGCTGTTTTTGGGTAATGGAGCAGAAAAGACTTTTTCACAAGACTGTGCTTACCTTTTAGTTTCAGAGATCCTTTATCTCATGCCATGCACTTGGTCACTGAATTGTAATGTTAGCATCCCTCTTTGCCCTGGTGCACACCAGGAGACATGAATTCCATGTGAAACATACCAGATATTCCAAACTTGGATCCAGCATTTCAGGAAACCAAATACTACCTTTAGAAGTGGATGTTTGCTCTGTGATAAGGGAAGGAAAAGGGCCATCACTGTAAATGCAGGTGTATAGAATGGTACCTGCAGGAACAGTTTTAAAATGACCATACCTGTGAGTGTGCTTTTCCTCACTCTGAAGCTAACCTTTAACATATTTTTTCTCCCCATTTCCTTAGAATTTCTTCCCAGAACAGATGGTTACTTGGTGCCAGCAGCCAAACGGCAGTCAGACCCAACTTTTGCAGGTACTGGGCAAAAACAGGCTTCTGCTGAAACAGAGTTTCTGGAGAGAAGTCCTGTTGGAACTGTCATGGCGGTACTGTAAAAACTGGAAGAGGTCACATCCTTGATCACATCGTAGCCTTGGCTCCTAACGGGGTTTAGAGTAACCAGAAATAAATGTTTACTTGGGAAATCTGTGGGGAGCCAGGCTCCTTCAAAGTGAAACAAGCCCTTACAAACAGGACAAATTTGTTCTGCCTTAGCAGCAATCGGAGTGATGCCATCACTGAGCAAGGGCGGGAGGGACAGAATGGGAAGTTGAGGTCTCATCTCTGGGGATGGGTCTCAGACAGGCCACTGCCCAGCTGCTTAGAAATCTCTGCAGAAATACTGAGTCTACTTCTCAGTGAAAAATGACTGGGCTGCTGCAGAGTCCTTTTAAAAGTAACTTACTGTACATCAAAAGAAGGAAAAAACTGTTTAATTGTCCTTCTGCTTTCTAAAGTCTGTTCCAATAAAATCCGGTCTCGCCCCACCTCCCCTTCAAGAGGAGGGAGCCCTCGGAGACCTCAGTGCTTAATACCGATGACCACTCCTCCAGGGAGACAGGAGCGGGAGAGGAAATATTACTGTGGCCCCTAAAAATGTGTCCCAGGGAGCCCTCGGAGACCTCAGTGCTTAATACCGATGACCACTCCTCCAGGGAGACAGGAGCCGGAGAGGAAATATTACTGTGGCCCCTAAAAATGTGTCCGTGTACAACGTGTTAAGTGAAAGAATAAAACATTGCCTTAGGCAACCAACAGTATCCAGGTGGTATCAAATATAAGAGAAACTACTAATATTTAGTTTCTACAGAATTCTGCCCATAAGTCCTTCTTTCTCTGCTTCGACGCTCACCAGGTTCGTCTCCACCACCTGAAAGATGAGAGCTTTGCAGCTCTGTGCTGGTGGTCTCTGCATATGCCTTATTAATCTGTTCCAGCAAGAGTTGCCCATTGCCAACACTCAGTCATCATCCTCCATGCACCATGACAGTGAATGGCGGATTGCTTTTACTTGCCTTGACTTTGAGATGATTCGTGTGCTTTATGAGGGGGTGCCACTATCTCTTGAGACTCTGGAAGGACTGGGCCCAAGAACACCAGGGCTCTGTCCAGCTTCCCATCCCACCTGTGTTTTCGCCAACGTTAGAAAGGTCCATTTGCTTGCGTGTGTTTAAATACGAGTTACATTCTATGTAACACCAATTTAGATGGGATTTGAAGACTTTTCGAAAGGAGAAAACTCTGACCAGAAAGAGTCTTAATAATTCAGAACATATCAGCTATGCTAATAACATATATGCTTTAATTAATTTATGTTAGCATTATCTGATTTTTAAAATTTGCTCTTCAACAGAGTTTTCTAAACTCCAGTAGCTGTCCTGAAATTCAAGGATTTTTGCATGTGAAAGAGCTGGGAAGGAAATCATGGAAAAAGCTGTACGTGTGTTTGCGGAGATCAGGCCTTTATTGCTCCACAAAGGGAACTTCAAAGGTGGGTTTTAAACCCCACCACCCCTGGCACTGATTGTGCCCCCATCACTCCAGCTGGGGGTGTTCACCGTGAACTTGGGCTTTACTTTAAAGTGCACCTTACAGGCTGGCCAGTTAGCTCTGTTGATGGTTAGAGCATGGTGTTATAACACCAGGGTAGAGGGTTCAGATCGCTGTACCAGCCAACAAACAAACAAACGAATGAGTGAATGAATGAATGAATGAATGACACCTTAGTCTCCTCCAAGCTCATGATAACTTATTAATAAGCTAATTGTGCAGCAGGTAAACTTGGAGTTCCTGGTCTTCTGGTCTACTTCAGAAACCAGGTGATGATGCAGACCTAGGAAACCCTGGCTGCCCCAGGCTCTTCAGACACCGACTTAGTTTTCATAATTTGGAAGTTGGGGCCCAAGCTAGCCGTAAGAATGTTTAATGGATTATTGCCACCCTAGTGCCAGCCTCACACATGTTGTCGTAGATATTTTATGGAGAAAATTGCAGTTTTATATGTGTCCCCAGTGGGAAGAAGGGGTGAGAGGTAGAAAGCAACCGCTGGTTCCAGAGAGCTGATGGCGTTGTCAACTCAACCCGGGTCTCCTTTGGTCTTTGCACTCTGACCTACTCTTTTCTTATGACTGTCCCATGTGTGCCCTGCAGTAGGAGCCGTGTCTGACCATCCTTGGCTGAGCATTTGCCTTCTAGCAGCTGCAGTCTCTTCTGTTCTTGCCTGAGGAAAGGAGGGGGGAGCTGGCGGGACCCCAGGCGAGGGTGCCGAGCATCAGGCCAGCTGAGCCCGGGTCTGCAAAGTCAGCAGCCGCCGGACCTGTGAGCCGGGGAGCAGGAGCATCTTCTCCAGAGAAGGGCTTTGAGCGGATGCAGCGCAGGGAAGGGTGACTTCCTGACGTTTCAGCTCTGACCAGCGGCTCACTCCCGATCCTCGTACACACTGAAGCCAGGGACAGTTTGTAGCCTAGAGCAGGATGGAGCATGGGTGGAGGGTTGAGGAAAAGGGTGGGACAAGCCACCAGTGGAGGGTGAAGGCTCAGCTGGACTCTGAACACACTCAGCAAAGGTGGCGCGGGTCCTGCATGGAAGGTGTGCTCCTCACTTTGATCTCTGGGCTGCAGATTTTCTCCTGGTTTTTACCTTGACTCTGCTCACGGGGCTTCGATTTGGCAGAAGAATCAAATACATTCCAACGGTCCTATGTCTGAGAATTTCAGAAGTGATGTTTTTGGGTGAAGCTGGTGAATTTGGTTTTAGTTTAGCACTGATGTCACACAGCAATGATAGCTGCTACACTGTTGGCGGGGAAAGTGCCCCGTGTGTGCACAGATGTGAAAGCATTTGCTTTCTGCTGTGCTTGAGATGAACCCTCCATGCTTAAACCTGGTCAACGTTTTCACAGGAACCCAGACACTTGCAGCTGCTAGCTGACCTGGAGGAGAGCAACGTCTTCTCCCTGATTGCTGGCAAAAAGCAGTATGGTGCCCCCACAGAGCACGGGCTCTGCATAAAGGTACTCAACCGCTAGTCTGTCCACACACTCAGAGCTCACTTTTAGCATCCTGCTGGAAACTTGGGAATGAAACAGTCAATTTCTCTTTTGCCCAGTAGTGGGTTACTGCTGCTTTTGTTTTTAACAGAAATACAGTTTCACACTGGACTTTCTCATGTAAAAACATTTATTATGTGCTTACGATATGTTGGTCCTGGAGTAGCTCAGAAGCTCTAGGAAAAGCAGACACATGATGGACAATGCCAGTTGGTGGTCTCAGTGGCTTTGGGCCAGGCAGCTTTTGGTCTTAGGGGCTGACTGTGGCCATGGCCCAGTAATAGTAGTGGGAGGAGGAGGCAGGTTAAGGAAGCAGACATCTAGTCTGTCATCAGGGTGGCCTCCAGGGTACTGAGTGAGCTGACACCTGCTGCGTGGGCTTTTGATCATGGGGACTGTTGGATAAGAGTGACCATAGCACTGCCGACCCTCTACATGGATATGTGTGAGGGCGCACACATGCACACACCACTATACATGCACACATATGCGTGTGCACAATCACATACATGCACGTGTACACATACACACAAATGCATACACCCCCTACACATATACATGTGCACACATACACACTTGCAAACACATGTACGTGTGTGCACACAGACACAAACACATACTTACGCACGTAAACAAATGCATACACACGTGTACATACACACACCTGCACACACCTATGGGCAGGGCCCAGTCTTCTTCCCCTGGTGAAGTGGTGTGATGTTGGTAATAATGATAAATGGTATTACTGAATGCTTACTGTGCACGAGATGAAGGTTTTACCTCCATTATCTTACTTAACCTTCATAGATACTTGTGGGCTGGGAACAGAATTGGCCACATTGCCTGCATCAGGAGGCCAATACGTACCTGTGCTCAGAGTCCCCCCAGGGACTGCCTTCTTAGCCGCAGCCCAAGCCCCATACTGAGTGGACACGAATGTGCAGCAGGGAGAAAATTCTGTCTTAAAATTCTGTCTTAAACTATACTATACCTACTCATCGAAGGCTGTTTTGGTTGCAAGTAATAAGAATCTACTTCAAACCAGCTGCAGGCTGGGGCGGCCTCAGGAGAGGCTGGAGGGGAGCCAGGCAGCCAGCACCTCTCCCCTTTGGGGGCACTCGGGAGCTTCCCCCTTGCTGCTGACCCTTGCAGGAGCCCCTCCTCCAGCTACCTCCTCAGTCTCCCCCAGGAGGTGCTTTGAAGATCTTTCCTTCTGCAATTCAGGTGGCAGGTTCTCCTCCCATAGTATCCAACTTCCCCCCAACAGAGTCAGATGCCTTTTCTGCTGGGTTCTGTCAGGCCCACCATGTTGCCTTGTGATAGGTTGTTTTCCTGATAGTTTGTCTCCTCCAAAATTCCAGTCAGGATGGCTGCTTCTTCAGCTTCCCCAGGGCTAGTCCGTGGTGGGTGCTTGGTAGAGGCTTGTCGAGGAGGTGGGAGGTGAACACACGACACAGGCATGTGTGCACCTGCCGTGTTCCCTGAAGGGTGGTAGGTGGTCTGGCATGTGCACGGTGCAGCCCACTGTGACAGGAGCCGTGTTTCCACTCACTGCGCTGACTCGTCGGTTTTTCCTTTACTCCTTCAGCCAAACAAAGTGAAGAACGAAGTGAAGGAGCTGCGCCTGCTCTGTGCGGAAGATGAGCAGGGCCGCAGCTGCTGGATGACGGCCTTCAGGCTCCTCAAGGTACGCGCTGCCTTGCACTCTGCATGTGCAGGGCTCTCTGCTTGCACAGTCGGCCCTGCACGGGGGGCCTATTCCGGCATGAAAGTGCCCATCACTTTTCCACCGTTCTGTCACAGTATTTTACTATCAAGATTAGTAACACATCTTTCCAAACGTGTTCTCAGGAGCTTCTCAGAGGGCTTCGTATTGAAAAGGTTAGAGCCGTGTTTTCTGACCTCAGCACTATTGACACTTTAGGCAAAATGATTTTTTATCTGGGGGTGAAGGGGGACAATCCTGTATGTTGTAGCAAATTTGACAGCATCTCTGGTCTCTGCCCACTAGATGCCAGTAGCACCCCTCAACCAGATGAGACAACGAAAAATGTTTCTAGATGTTGAGAAATGTCTGCTGGGGGACAGGGGTGTGGGGAATTGCTCCTGGTTGAGAACCACTGGGTTAGAGGAATAGGATTAGAAAGGTCAGGACCAGGGAGAAGGAAGAAATAGCACGTGAGGAGTTGTAATTATTTTCATGACTGACCAGACTCTCAGCTGAAAAGCCAGGGCCGTGAGGGACACCTGGTGAATTGTGCGGCTTGCCGGAGCTCCTTGGAGGAGGTGGTGTCTCCTGACTGTAAGATCTAAAAGAAGTTTATTACACGGAACTTCATATGGGATAATGCCCTTGATAGCAGTTTTGTTGTAATTGCCAAAGTGATTTCATAGGACTCTTTACTGTGATCATGTTGGTGAAGCTAAAAGCATAGAGTTAGGGCACATCTCACTTTTGATTCCCACACACGTACGATACCCCATCTGTCGGGAATTACGTCTGTAAAGTCCACATGAGTTGCAAGTTTGTTGACCAAGATGAACTTGGCTAACATCCGGGGGTCTCTGCAGGAGATGTTTGTTTGGTCAGCTGAGGTCAACGGGTACAATGGTCTAGGGATTTCTTTGTAAAAAACTCCCAACCTTCATTGAACTGCAGGGGCCTTTCAGCTCGTCCAGAGACTCAAGTGACGTCAATTGAGATGAACGAGCAGATGGAGGCTTAACTCAAAATCTCTTTGAGGTGCCACAGGACTTAAGCTCCGTGGATACACGTCCTGTATCTCTCTTCCAGATCCTTATTTTGTTTTATTTTTTCCACTGATAAAACAGAAGAGAATTAAAATCAAAATTTTACTAATTTATAGTGGAAGGAAAAACATTGGTCTTAGATATTATAGCTCCTAGACTACTTCTTTATAAGCCCATTTATAAGTCTGAATTGTCATCCCTGGAGAACTGCATAGATAAGTTACAAGTATCCATTGAGAGGAATACTTTGCAGCTATAAAAAACTGAGGGTGCTCTTTGTGTTTTGTTATGGAAAAATTAACAATAATTAAAAAGCAAAGAGCCAAAAAGTATACATGGAGTATGCTCCCTTTGTGGGGGGGGCGCGGGGGGTGAACTGAAATATATGTTTGTCGGGCTAGGGCTCAGAGACCCTTCAAACCCATTGTACAGACTGGGTCACCAAAATCCTCACATGCCAGGCTGGGTCACAGACCCCTCATGTGCTGGCTGGGTCACAGACCCCTCACATGCAGGTTGCAAGCTAGGCAATTGGAAAAAGACCCTGGGAGCTGCTGGCAAGGTTGACATACTTCATTCTGACGTGAGCTTAGCCCTCAGCTTCCTCAGCAGCAGCAGCAGCAGTGGCTTCCTGGGACATCTTGGGGGCCCTGACAGCAATAGCTTGCAGTATACCTTCCAGAAGTAGTAGTGGCCCCCTGGGGATGGGGTGGGGTGGTGGGCACTGTGGATCAGAGCCTTTTGTCCTTTCCATTTAAGTCCAATAACCTGTGAACACCTGGGTGCGAGTCAAGACGGGCAAAGAACACCTGGGCAAAGAACACCTGGGTACACATGCACAGTTAACATATCAAACAAGCTAGGCTCAGCAAGATTCCGAACCTCTGAGAGATGGCTTCCTGGGACATCTTGGGGGCCCTGACAGCAATAGCTTGCAGTATACCTTCCAGAAGCAGTAGTGGGCCCCTGGGGATGGGGTGGGGTGGTGGGCACTGTGGATCAGAGCCTTTTGTCCTTTCCATTTAAGTCCAATAACCCGTGAACACCTGGGTGCGAGTCAAGACGGGCAAAGAACACCTGGGCACACATGCACAGTTAACATATCAAACAAGCTAGGCTCAGCAAGATTCCGAACCTCTGAGAGATCCTGACCATTTATTTCATTTTCCCTACAATGTTCATATTTGCTGGTGTGTACGTGGGCATTGTATGAGACTGCAGGAGGAAAGAGAGAGGTTACGGGTGGATGAGATGTAGCCGTCCAAGCAGGGACAGGGCGAGAGAGAAACTTTTAAAGTTTATGGGCATGTTTGATTTTTTTTAAATCTGTGAATAAATAATCTCTTTAGGAAGAGGCAAGGAAAGGAAGTGAGAAGGGAAAGTGGTGGTACTGTCTGTGCAGCTGTACGTAATATTACTTTGGGTAACACGTATAAACCCAGTTAGCAAGTTCCTAGCCGTTGCGTCATGAGTGAGAAAGAGCAGATGTCACTCCTTTGGTGCTGTGACACGCCTGGTTATGGAGAGGCAGTGGGCGGAGCTGTGTGACGATTCTAACCGACTTTACCATCAGCGCTGACAGGAGTGTGTTAGGTCATATGTTAAGTAACATAGTGAACGTCCTGAGCGTTTACTGTGGGCCAGGCTCTCTTACTCTCTTTACACCCATTACCTCGTTTACTCCTCATAGCAGCCCAGTGACACGTACATTATCCTGATCCTCCTTGTGCAGATGACAAAACCAAGGCCCCTGGCATGGCAGCTGGGCTGTGGGATCAGAGCGCCTGCGTTCTGGCTCCAGAACCCCTTTCCTGCACCAGCTTTGCTGCCCTCCCTGAGAGCCACCTGGAAGTGGCAGATCCAGTTCCAAGTGTAGTCTTGTTGTCCCTGCTACTTTGTAGGGAGCACTTTGCCTCTGGTGATCCACAGATTCCAAGGACACGAGGGTACATCTTGATGCCACTCTTATGGGAGGCTCGGGGCCTCAACCTGGCAGGGGTGTGGCAGTACCAGGCTGCTGGGCCAGTCTCAAGTGAATTGGGAGCCGAGTTACACACTTCTGCCCTAACTAGTTTTGCTCTGGGTCTGCTGCTGATAGTGAGGAGGCTTCGAGAAAGGCATGCGATGTCAACAACTGTGGCATTCCTTACGACATTCTGATATGCCTCCTCCCTCCCTGCCCTGTCTCCAGTTGTCTTGATTAAAGAGGGGGAATGCGGGATTAGAAGAGGAGGTTCTGCTCCCCAGCCCAGCTCCCCCACGTTGCCTTTGGAAGGGAACAGGGTAGGTTTTGTTCAAGGGACTTCTGCTTCTAGAAGCCATGGGGAAACCTCACATCCCTCTGTTTCTTGTCCCTCTTACTTTCCCAAGGTCCTTCTTGGATGTGGGCGTCAACTCATGTCCATGGTCAGGCTTGGCCTCCTCGACAGGCAAACAGATGCCATGGTGGGGTGTGGCTGGCCTGTGGTTGCAGGGAGCAGGCCCAGGCAAGGACCTGTGAGCCTGGCCTGCCTGGCCTTGCCCTGCACCTGTCATGTGTCTGGGCAGCATCTTGTCTGCTCCCCTCCAAATCCTCATTGAGGACAGGGCTTCTTAGTGCTCAGAACATAGCAGATGCTCAGAAAAAGGGAATTGAGTGAAAGTGGGACCAGCCTAAACTTGCGCCCTGACTGTGACCTTTCTTCTTCTGTTACTGTATCTCTCTCTTGCCTGCTGGTGTCACGGGCAATGCCAGGGTCCACCCAAGACTGCGACCCTGCCAGGGGGTTGTCAAAATCACCAGACAGGGAATTTGGACTAAACACACGATGTCTCGCCAGCAGAGACTAAGGAAACGTGGGGTTGTGACTGTTCGTGGTTGACGCGGAGATCTTAAATGTAGTACATCGTGTGAAGTCCCTGCCAGCATCAGCCCTTTAGACACTCTTTTCCCCAAAAAGTTGGTCAGTTATTCTGTGTCTGCATCTGCAGGAAGTAGAGGACATGCAGGACTCCTTGTTTTGTAGCACATGTCCACACGGAGACCCTGGAGTCCTGCATCACAGTTATCTTTCACCGTCCCTAACTCCAGCCAGGTGTCACTTCTGTACAATGGATAATGAATCAGTGCCAGCAACATTGAAATAGTGGTTTTAATGCTATTAAAATCCTAGGACCCTGATTCCTTCCTTTCCTGTGACCTTGGGCAACTTACTTGATTCCTTTATGCTTTGGTTCCGTTCTCTGTAAAATGGGGATAATTACGAGGGGACTTCAAAAAGTTCTTGGGAGAATAGGACTGAAAGATAATAAAAATCTTTCCATGAACTCTTTAAAGTACCTTCATATAGTTCACAGCTCATAAAGTGGAGAGGATTAAATGAAATGCGGGTTGAGCATCCCTAATCCAAAAATGTGAAATTCAAAATGCTCCAAAATCCAAAACATTTTGAGCACCAACATGACCCTCAAAGGAAATGCTCATTGGAGCACTTCAGATTTTGTATTTTCAGATCAGAGATGCTCCACTAGCGTGTATTTTTGCAAATATTCCAAAATCCAAAAAAAAAAAAAATATGAGATCAGAAACACTTCTGGTCCCCAGCATTTTGGATAAGGGCTACTCAGCTTGTGATACAAGAAAGCACTTACAACAGTACTCGGCCCACAGCCACACTCCAGTAAGACTGATGGTTGTTGGTGTTGTCTTTGTTATGTCTGTCATTGCCTGGCTTATTCCAAAACCGGTCAGCTCGTATGTCCTGTGGGGTGACAGTGGCAGCCTCCCTGAGAGCAGTGCTCTGTACTGAGTGCACTTCAGACCACAGAAGCCGTCAACAGGGTACCATCCACTGTTCTGGACTCAGCATTGCCTGTCCCTGCCGTGACATGTGCCACGTGCTGGGGCCTCGGGGGCTCTCAGGTCCTGGTGACTGACTCTGGCCTCTCCCCTCAGTATGGAATGCTCCTGTACCAGAACTTCCGGGTCCCTCAGCAGAAGAAAGGCCTGCTCTCGCCCTTCTCGACCCCAGTGGTAAGTTCAGTGTGACCTTCAAAAGTCAAGTTCCTTGTCAGCTGCTGAATCTGCATGTGTGGTGGACGTCACACAGGGTGGCCAAGAGAAGCTAAGAGAAGCTCCTCCAGTAAGGGCATGTGCCTTTCAGGGAAGCCAGTATGTCCCAGGACATGGGTTTTGTCATCTCAACAGTGAAGCTGTGGGGAGCAGAAGCCTCCGCCTTCCTTCTGCCCGTTCCTGCTCCCCCGCTCAAGGTTGTGTAGGTCGTTGGCTCTCGTTAAATGCTCAAAAATGTCAGCGGCCCCTTTTGGCTCTACTGAGGAGTTTCTTCCCTGCCTTTGGCTTTTGTTGCTTTAGGCCAGGACCCATGGGCGCTGTTGACCATTATGTTCCCATCATACAGTCTTCTAAAGACCCAAACACGAGGCTCACCTTGATGTAGCATTTCTTTGATGTGTTCTAGCACAGGTGAGGAGCCTGTGAGATGCTGTTGGCGCCAGGTGACCTACCAGCAGCCTTAGAATACAGCTAGATGATTGGAACGTTTCTTATTCTTAAGAAAAACCAAAGCCTCTGAACCTTAGGGATTTGGGGGGTGGGAGAGATTCTCTGTTGTCCTTTCCTGGCCATCTTTGTGATTATTTCATGCCAAGATTCTCCCATGTGCAGCTGTTTCCCTACATGTTGAGAACTTGTGGCCTTTTCTTTCCAGCGCAGTGTCTCTGAGAACTCCCTTGTGGCGATGGATTTTTCTGGGCAAACAGGAAGAGTGATAGAGAATCCAGCCGAAGCCCAGAGCGCAGCCCTGGAGGAGGGCCACGCCTGGAGGGTGAGGCCGTGGCCCCAGTCCCCCTGGAGAGGCTCCCTCGTGGCTGGTGTCTTCACCCACCTGGTCTTCTCCTAGAAGGATGGCTCTGGGGATGTTGACAAGGGGGTGGCATGTCGGGTGGGGGGCATCTGAGTTCTCAACTGCAGGAAGCAGGTGGCACGTCTGGGCACCTCCACGCTCCCAGCACCCAGCCATCCCCCACTGCCTCCCGGACCCTGGGCTTTTGTGGAAGGGATAGGATTGGAGCAGCACCATCTGCCCTCTTGGGCTCACATGCAGAGCTGTTTCTGCTAATGAATCGTCAGTGGCTGTCTGTAGGGTGCTCAGAGCCCAGGCCTGATCTGTACCAATAACACTTTGAGCCTTGAACTCTTAATCTCCAGATGGGGAGAATATCACCCCACGTTCAAGTTTGCCTGAGACCTGAAGACCCCCTGTCAGCATAAGCCGGGTTCTGGCTCTGAAAGCATCCCTGCTTGGGCTTCAGAGGGTGCGGAAAAGCAGAGTCCCCACGTGCAGGGTTCTGGAGACCCGTGTCTTGACAACTGCTTGAGTTTACTAGAAAAGCTCATGCCTTCTCCTAAGATTGACAGGCTTTTCATGGAATTTTCATGGTGTCTTTTGTGTGAGAAGCAAGCCTCTTGACTTCAATACTGGGATGGCTAGAAATATACCGGGATGTTTTTGGTTTTGTTTTGAACCACGGTGACCCACGTTAGCTCATTCTCAGTGGTCAGATAGGAGGTTCCAGTGGGTGAAGGGCCCCGGGATCCTGGCCAGTGTCCTCACAGCCATCCTGCCCTGAGGTGGGACGTGTTGAGTGGCTTGTTGGTGTGTCAGTCTGTTGTCTTCAGTGCTAACGTGGGGATTTCTTTTGCAGAAGAGAAGCACACGGATGAATATCCTAAGTAGCCAAAGTCCCCTGCACCCTTCCACCCTGAGTACAGGTAAACACGGCATGTGGCCTGGTATTTTTGTACGTAAAGAAATAGAACAGCCCCCGCTTCTCCACCCCTCCTAAGCTTCACAGAGTTGCCCGTGTCCAGAGTGCACCGTGAATGATGTAGCCGTGGGCATCGGGGCTCCAAGTTGATCGGTTAGTTGTGCTTCCAGGAAACAGTTCTGCAGAGGCACCGCGATGCCACCTCCTGTTCTCTTTCCCCCACAGTGATTCACAAGACGCAGCACTGGTTTCACGGGAGGATCTCCAGGGAGGAATCCCACAGGATCATCAAACAGCAAGGGCTCGTGGACGGGTAAGGAACCAAGGAGAGCTGCCATCCACAGAGGTTTTGGGGTGCGGTTCTGCAGAGGCACCGCGATGCCACCTCCTGTTCTCTTTCCCCCACAGTGATTCACAAGACGCAGCACTGGTTCCACGGGAGGATCTCCAGGGAGGAATCCCACAGGATCATCAAACAACAAGGGCTCGTGGACGGGTAAGGAACCAAGGAGAGCTGCCATCCACAGAGGTTTTGGGGTGCTGGGCGTAGATTCTGTTTAATTCCTCGGATACCCTTGCAGGTAGGCAGTCACTTTATCCGCATTTTTAAGAGGAGGAAATGTAGGCTCAGAGGGATAAGGGTGTGCAGAGCCACAGGAAGGGGCAGAAGAGATGCTAATCCTTGTGTGTTCAGACTGTGTCTATAGGGATGCGTGATGCTCTGCCTCCCAGGTGAAGTCTGAACAGGTGAGGAATGCAAGAACCAAAAAGCTGCTACACTCCTTCAGTTTACAAAAGTTTTATTTTGGAAATTTTCAAATTTACATAAGAGAAGAGCATAATGAATTTCCACTCACCCCTTGCCCAGCTTCAGCAGTTTGTGATCTTATTTTTTCTGTGTCCCTTCTCATGTTTGCTTCTCCGTCTCCTCCTCCTCCCTTCTTCCTCCTCCTTTTCCTTCTTTTTATTCTTCCTCCTCCCCCTTTCCCTCTCCCTTCTCTTCCTCCTCCTCTTTCTTTTATTTTAAAGGAATCTCCAGATATCCTAAATATTTCCTAGTAAATATATTTTAGTGCATGTCTCTAAAAAGTAAGGACCCTTTTCTTTTGACATAACTTCAGTATTGTTACTACACTTAACAAAATAAGCAAGGATTCCTTACTATCGTCTAAAATTCATTCTCCAGATATCCTAAATATTTCCTAGTAAATATATTTTAGTGCATGTCTCTAAAAAGTAAGGACCCTTTTCTTTTGACATAACTACAGTATTGTTACTACACTTAACAAAATAAGCAAGGATTCCTTACTATCGTCTAAAATTCATTCCATGTTCAAATTTCCCCAGTTGTTACCAAAAATGTCTTTTAAATTTAGTCGATTCAGAGCAGGATCCGCAACGTGCATTTGGTTGCTGTATCGCTTCAGTCTCCTTGGCTCTACAGTAGTCTCCCCCACCACTTCATTTTTCTTCTTTCTGTCATAATCTTGTTTGTTGAAGAAGTGGGTCATTTGCTAAGTGCATACTTGTGGTTTCTTTTAATATGTTCCTCTGTCTCCCTTATTCCTGGGAAGTGCTAGTCAGCAGCTTGATGAGAAGCAGATTCGTTTCTTGTGGTGAGTCCTCCAGCTGATGCTGTGTGAGGTCTGGTCCTCCTCAGCCCTGCTGGGGCTGAGCGAAGGCACCGGCAGGCATTGTCAGCCCGAGCCGTCCTGATAAGCTTCCCCAGCCTCACCCTCCTGATGGTTTTAGTAGCAATGGCTGCACTTGCCCAGGTTCACTAAAGGGTAGATAAATGCTTGGTTTCTCCCTTTGTCAGTTTTCAGGATAATGCGTTATTTTACCATCTTCCTTTAGTGACAAATGAGGGCTTGTTTTGTTTTTTCACTTTTTGTTGTTTTTTTTTATTAACTATCACAGTGAACTTAATTTTTATGTAGTTGATTTATTTCAATCAAAACTTCTTCTCCTTGGTTCTTAATTTACCTCTCATTGGCCAGCGAGACCCCTTTGAGCCTGCCTCCTGAGTTCTCTTACAGCACTAACAATGTTTGATTTCAGGTGTGATGAGAGACACACCAAGCTCAAGTGACACACTTCTCATAGGAACCCTGACTCTAGTGGAAAATAGTATGTGGAGACCACAATTTTTAGGTCTTTTCAGTGGCCAGAACTAGGACATGGTCTTTTATAAAACCAAAAAATAAATTATGGTTCACATTGATATTGCCAATTCAAATATGAGATTACAGGGTTTTTATTTCTTTGATTTGGTCATATTTCTCTTCTCTTACTCTGAAGATCTTAGTGACTAATGACATTAACTTAACTTATTTACTTTATCTATATATAATATCCATGTATATATCTCTATATAGATAGATGTCAGAGGAAAATTCAACAAATTTAGCTAAAGATCTCAGTTGTGATTCTAGAATCGGGCAACACTTCATTCCATAAAATAGAGTAAGCCTTCCAATGAGACAAGCAGAAGACGTTGGCTTTAGTGACAGAAAAGGCTGAAGAAAGCAGAAGCAACAAAAAGTGGATTGGTCATTTCAAAGTTACTTTCCTTGTAAGGTGGGGACAGGGAGACAGAGCAATAGAAAAGTAACTGATTATTTAGCATCAGGTTACTTCAGGCTGTCCTTTCTGGGCAGGGATTAAAGTAAAGGGAACTTCGTGATCACGCCAATTGAAGATTGAAACTGGCCTATTTGGGAAATTGGCCGTTATCTGTCTGTGCTCATTTCTCCAAAGGTCAGACCACAACTTAGTTCAGATTTGGTGACATGGAAATTAGCAGGGGTGGCTCCTGATTCTTAATCTGATCTTTTAGGGCCTAGTGCAGGAACTTAGTCTAAAACAGTGATCTCCTTTCATTTTTATTTAACATATTCATATAACGCACACATACATATACATATATGTGAAACATCTTGAAAATCTTAATACTGATATTAATTCAGGAAGACTCCTGGTTGAGATTTCTTTGCAGTCCTTTTAATCTCTAAGAAATATTCTAGGCAGGTTACATTAAAATACCAAGCTTTAAGTCACAGTAATTCTCTGTGGTTCTGCCACCAAAGTGTTCTGCAGTCAGGTTTGGCTCTTTCAGTGTATGTTGTTTGTGAGTGGATCTGATTTATTTCCTTTTTGGTTGTATGCTGCTTCTTAAACTACATGAAATATTTTCATCGCTCCAAAGTCAAAATTATGAGATAAGACACGTTCCCTGTCGACTTTACCCTGCCCCTCCACCCCTGCAATAGGTAACCATTTTTATTATTCCTGTTTGTTCATCCTTCTGTACTGTCTGTTTAGAACTATAAGCAAAACATGGGTGTTTTCATGACTGCCCCTCCTCCAGCAAAGGCGGTGTAATGTGAGCACCAGGCTGCACCTGCTTCTGGCTGTCCATGCCCAGGACCTGAGAGCAGCAGTGTGTGGACAGCTGTGTCTCCTGTTCACTGCCAGCTCCTTTTGTGCAGAGAGAACACCATTTTTTCCGATCACTCCCCTACTGGGAGACATTCGAGTGGTTTCCAGGTTCATTGGGTTGAATATGTCCCCCCACAATTTAATTCCCGCTGTAACTGGGAGGGTGGGAAATCTTGTTACGGTAATGGAAAGGTGGGGCCTTGAAGAGGTGATTGGATTGTAGGACCGTGCAGTAGTGAATGGATTAATACTGCTGGTCAGGGGCGTGGTTCTGAGGGCTTTAAAAGAAGAGCACAAGAGAGGTTAGTCTCTCTCTGCTCCTCCATTTTCTGCCATGTGAGACCCCTGGGTCACTGTTACCACCACCAAGACCTTCACCAGCTGTGTTCCCTGGACTTTGGACTTCCCAGCCTCCCAAACTTTAAATTTCATTTTCTTTGTAAGTTACCCGGTTCCAGGTATTTTGTTATATGCAACAGAAATGGACTAATACACCAGGCTTTTGTTAGGACAGACAGTGCTACTACATCATTGCATAATTTTACTAGTGTATCTTAACTTTGCTGGTGAGCTCTTAGAAGTGGGATTGTTGGGTGGAAGGGTAAAGGTTTATGTAATGTTGTGAAACATTGCTGATTCCCCTAGCTGGTGTCACTGTTACTGTCCTATCTATGGAATTCGTCCTCAAGAAGTGTACTGGTTTGGTCTCTAGGTGACCCACACCACGGGAGAAGTGAAGGTTCCTCAGGAAGCTTAATTTGGTGCTGTGGCCACTGAGTGTCCCCCTCACCTTCCCAAGGCCCAGGGCAGTGATGATCTGTCTGCATCCCCGAGGAGAAGATGAGTGGGACTCTCAGGACACGGGGACCCACATGTGGGTGGCATGTGTGTTTTGCCCTCTGGATGAATAGGGCTACCTCTGTGGTGGGGGGGTCCACATAGCATATTAGCTCAATCCGACCAAGTGAATTGCATGTCAGCACCCCCCATTTTTCTTTGCTAACCATGTTTATCTTTTAACTCATTCGGGAGTGGAATCTCAGTCAGGGGCTTCCATCCTGCCAGACTTGTGAGGAGATAGGGCACATCGCCTCTCTTACCTTTCATCCCCCAGGTGAGCCCTTCTGGCGGAGCCTGTTTTCTGTATACACAGGAGTTTCTCTCTGTCCTCCATGGAGACATGTCTCTAAGGCTGTCATTTCTAGTTTTGACCTTAGGGTGCTGGAGCGCTAACACAAGGCACAGTACAGGTGATGGGACCAGTGCAGGTGTTATCACAGGGATGCTCATCTGCTAATTCCTGGGTTTAGGGAGGACGTGTGTTTGCAAAATGAGGTAAACTAAATAATCCGTTTCTAATCTTTATTGATCCCTGCAGAGATAATGAAGGCAAGCTAGTTTAGAGTGTCAAACATCAATGAAAACAGCTATGAAACAGTGCAAAAATGGCAGACACTAGCAGTGTTAAGAGTATTTCCTGTAGCTTTAGCCTCAAAAGCTATACAGAATTAGAAAGAGCGGGACGAGAAAGAAAGAGACATCAGAGGCTTCAGTAGACCTAGGAGGTGCTTCTGGAATGCCCAGGGCCCCGGCAGCCTCCACCCTGTGCAAGTGCCAGTGTGTGCTTGTGCACATGTGTGTGCTTGTACCCACCCGCCCTGCATTGAACTTCTTTCCCGTCTTGCTGCCCGCAGCCCAGCCCAGTACCTGCAGGAGAAGGACCTTCTCAAGGGCAAATGGAGCTCTGTTGTCCCCTTGCTGAGCCTTCCCCCCAGCCCCTGAGGCCCCGGCCCCTGCCCCTCAGGACATATGGATGGACCACCCCCGTCCCCGCCCTGCCATGCTCACACACACAGACTGGCCCCCCAGGCCTCTCTGCTGTCCCCAGCGTCAACCTCTGCACTGCCTGTCTAGGCTGCACTTCTACACTCCACACCCTTCTGCTTGTTGGAAGGAAACTTCGTTGGCAAGACTTGAGTTCTTTGATGCTTTCTCTTCCCTGAGAGACAGAGGGAGGGCACTGTCCCCGGGACTCACAGGGACCATGTGAGCGGGACAGTCCACTCCTCATCTGCCTTTCCCACTGAAACTACAACTGCTGTGTAACTGGCTATGTAACCCTGGGGGAGCTGCTTAACTTCTCTGTTTCCTTACCTCATTGTGAAAGGAGGTGTGAGTCTGTGTACGAGACACTTTGCCTCGTTGTAAACGTGAGCTGCTGGTGACTCTGTCACCACCAGCACCTGGCACAGCGGCTCTTCTTGCTCCTGTGAGTGGGCTAAAGAGTGCACCATACCCGACCTCAGCTCCTCATGAAGGCGAGCGCACACCCCGGTCCTCGCTACTGCCCATGCGGGTCACGTTGGTAGCTTCCTAACCTGGGTAGTAGCCACTTGTCCTCGCCAGCCTTTCCCTGTGATTGTCGTTGTCTTAGAAATCACCAGACCACTGTACCTGGCTTGTTGTGATGACTGTTATTTGAGGCTGCCATGTGTCGTGGGCTGTAATGCACAACTCGGTGTGTGTGTCAGCCACAGCCTTCTAGACGGTCCTGCAGAAGAAGCGTGACTGCCCTTTGCAGATGAGGAAAGAGAGGCCGAGAAGCAGGTTGCCCAGGATCGTGACTCCTAAGCCATGTCCCTCTTGGCCCTGTAGACTCCTCCACATCAGTGGTCATCTTGGATAGACGACCTGCAGGCACTCCCTGTAAAACCCAAGCCTTCAGGTGGCCACAGGCTTTCCCGTGGCTGAGCCTGCTCCTCTCCAGGGTGAGCATCGTGCTCCGAGGTGGACAGGCCCAGGCACACTTGTGTCCAGCTGTAGTGTCCTATCTGCGGAAGGCAACAGCAGGTAGTTAAGGGACCAGCTGAGAAGGGGATAGCCCTAACCCTCCTGTTACGTCCAGAGCCCTATAGACACCTGCCTTTGTGCAGGTAACAATGTTTTATTTGGAATGACGTAACTCAGAAAAGAAAATAGATTTTTGAGGTAGATGGGGGAGCCCAGTGTGCACCACTACCCAGGAGAGGAGTTGGATTTCCTCGTCCTCTCTCCTGCTCTGGACACATTCCACATCAGTGTCACTGATTCTTAACACTGTCCCCTGCAGTCTGTCTGAGCCAAACCATGGAGTTCCCTTCTGGTTGGTGTTTCACAAGGTGTGTCCTGCAAAATACTATAAAAAAAGGAGGTTGTGTAGTCAGGTAAGATTGGAAAACTCTGTACTGGAGCCCCGTAGAGATCCACTGTGAATGTTCACATTTTAAAGGCTCTGAGAAGTCCTGTAGTAAAATAAATCTTTTTTACCTTTTTAGCACAGGATTTTCCAGTCTTATTTAACTGCTTTCCATCTTAATATTACCATATAGAATCTGGTGATTTAGCTCATCGTTGTAGTTTGTTTTCTAGTTTCTTTAAAGCATGTTCCTTCTCAGTCTGTTTCTTCTTTGGAACTTGGATTAGGGCTTTGAGACTCTGTTTCTTTATTTCTTTCTAGTATGTCACTGTCTACCTCATCAGCTAACCGAGATTTTTTCATGTCAGAGCAATGATTTTGTGCTGCTTCGTGCTAGAGTATTTTTCTTAACTTATTTTGAAATAATTTTAAGGTTGTAGAAAAATTACAAGAATAATATAATGAATACTGTGCACATTTCACCCAGATACCCCAGTGGTTAACATAACAGCACATCTGTTTGTCATCATCCTTCTCTGCTACTTTTTTCCTTAACCATTTGGGAGTAGGTTGTAGTGTGATGCCCCTTCATTTCTAATTTTTTCAGTGTAAAATTTCTGAACACAAGGACTTCTGTTACATAACAGTCCTGTTGTGAAAATCATGAAGTTAACATTGATTCAGTTCTGTTACCTGGTCTCCATGATTATTCAGGTTTTACCAATGGTCCTAATTGTATCCTTGAAATCCAAAGAAAAACAACCTTGATTCTAAGTACTCTCTTGTCTCAGCATATCTTTGTAATCTTGCTGCTTTTTATGAGCAGAAGCTGCTGCTTATAGACCATGCCTCGATGTGGGCTAGGCTGTTACTCAACACTAGATTCGGGTTGTACATTTTTGGCAAGAGAACCCTGGAAGTGAGGTTCTGGCCTCTTCAGCACATCCTGTCGGGAGGCCCCGGGGGCAGATCTGCCTCATTCCTGGTGGTAGGGATTTGAACGCTTGAGGAAGATGGTCTCAGCCAGCTTTCTCCACTTTAAAGTCACTATTCTCCCCTTTGTAAAAAGTGACTATTAGGGGTAAGAGATGAGACTACTTGAGACTATGAAAATATCGTTTCTCTTCTGACTTCCATCAGCTAGCTTAGCTCCATCGAGCCTTCTTAATCAGTTGTCAAACAGTTTTCTAGTTCACTGTTTATTTACTTAGCTGACATCTTCTCTAAGGAAGGGCTTTTCCTTCTCTCCTATTAATTTATTTGCTTATTTATTTATAATAGCTGTATGGACTCCTGGATTCCTGTTGTATTTTATGGCTTATAATCCATTACTTCCTTCTTATTATGATTATTGTGGTAAAACATATATAACATAAGAATTTCCATTTTAAGCATTTTTAAATGTAAAATTGTGTGGAATTAACATTCCCAGTGCTGTCTGACTGCTACCTCTATCCCCCAGATTTTTTCATCATTGCGAACATAAACTCTTTGTCCATTAAGCGGTGACGTCTCATTATTCCTTTCTCCCCATTTCTGGTCACTTCTAATCTACTGCTGTCTCTGAATGTTTTTTTTCTTTCTAATTTATTTTTTCTTAATTGCCCCATGATAATTGTATATACTTATGGGGTACAATATGATATTTGGGTGCATTTATACAGTATGCAATCGTCATATCGGGGTGCTTAGCATGTCCGTCACCTCCAACATTTGTCATCTCTGTGTTTGGAACATTCAGCATCCGCTCAACCAGCTGCTTCAACTTATACGGCAGTTAGTTGTTGACTGTGGTCTATAATCAATTACTATTACTTATATTTATTTTGATGCCTTGATTTAGCCTCCTGGGTCATTTAGACATGTGCCTGTCATTGTGTGAGCACCTCCTGACTTTCTGGCACAAGATTTTCCAGTGTCATCTTGTAGTCTCCCTACCTTAGCCCTGGAGTCCATCATCTCCCCAAGGAGCCCCAGTTGCTCTTGATGGAGAATGACATTTCGAAACTACCCTTTGATTGCCAAGTGTGCTGTTGCCATTAAAGGCCACTCAAGGCCAGAGAGGGAGAGAGACAGTGGTTCTGGATTTTAAAAATTGTTAACAATCGCATATTGTTTTCCATTCCCCAGGCTTTTTCTCCTCCGTGACAGCCAGAGTAATCCAAAGGCATTTGTACTCACACTGTGTCATCACCAGAAAATTAAGAATTTCCAGATCTTACCTGTAAGTATATTGATATTTTCATACTAATCCCTATGTTTTTATTTTCTGGTTTCATTCTTTATGCAATTTTTAAGTTATCAGCTAACAAGACCAGCTATCATCAATTATCAGACAGTTTCAAGCTCACTGGGGAGAAACTTTCTAGAGTGTCTTAGAGGTTAATTCTTTGACATTAGACCAGTGTTTCCCTAGAAATAATACCAAAAGTGGTGATAGTGTGCCAAGGCCTTCCCAGCACCTTGTAGCTCATCATCGCAGCTGAAACAGCCCCTGACGGGGAGGATCAAGGTCAGAGGGTGGGTGGACACGGAGGGGAACAGTTAGCTATGGACACAGTGCTGTGAGCAGGAATTAGGAAGCCAGGACTACACAGCAGGTTTGGCTGGTGGCTCCTTGCACCTAAGGAATTGGCTGGTTTGTGCTGAGTGTACCAGGGCTACTCAAGAACGTTGTAGGAAAGCTCACCCACGGTCAGGTCCCCCCCCCTGCCCTGCCCCAAGGAGAAATTGTGTTCCTCTTTGCACATGGTCCTTAAATCAGAAAACAGATTCCACCTTTGAGTAATTCCAAAAACATCATTACAGAATATGTTAGTTGACGCTGCTTTTTTTTTACAAAGCAGTTGTTACCTAATGTAGTCTAATTCTGTCTTCAGCATGCCTAGTTTCAAATTCTAGTTCAGTTTGGGTGTCATGCCAGCACCTCCAAGAATCCACAGTTTAGTTGGGGATACGAGATACAATACACAATGCATAATGAATTGATAAAGTCTGCAGGTGTTGATAACTTATCTACAGATGAGAAAAATGAGGCTGGCAGCTTTCCAGGGCTTACCCTGTACCATAGCAGAGGGAAGGAACAGAGGCTAGGATGAGCCCAGGCTTCCCAGGTCCCACCAAACAATATATGCAAACGTGGGAGCTATTATTCAGGGGACAGTGCCTCATTCACAATTCTTTATGTTTTTCCACTGTGTTATGTTACTGACACGGATGTTGTAATTCTCTTAGCTTAAAATATAAAATAAAATGGAAAAGAATTTTACGGTGAGCAGAGTATGTAATGCCATTCTCCCAAATAACGCCACATCCTACAAGTAGCAGAGCAGCAGCTTAGGATGCACAGCAATGAGACTGCAGCCTCTGGGCTTGCAAACACACAGCGGGATGTGCTTTTAGCTCCAGCAGCGTTTCTGGGCTTGAGAAGTGGTTCTGTGTTCATTCATCAACCAAGGCTTAAAACTGAGCCATTCCATATGAACAGGGCAGTGTGACTTTCCCCTTCTGTAGTGTACCGCAGTCACTGAATTTAAAACTCATCGAGTTAAAATAGATGTTAGGAATATGCGTCTAGTTCTTTTAGGGAAATATTGTAGAATTCCTCTATTTTAATAAAAATAGCTGTCACATAGTCCTAGGACCTAGGAAAGTTGCCTTACCTACATGATCTTATTCCTCCCTTACAGTAAGCCTACAGTTGCTTTACATTGGAGCACAGTGGGCCTCCAGGGTTTAAGGAGGTTGCCGGAGGTCATATAGTGAGGACCTTGGTCTGCGTCCTCTTTTCATGGGGCATGTGGCGGGTAACTCTCACGAGCCAGGTGAGCTGGGAGCAACTTAGAGCCCCTCCCCTGCAGGCTTCGTGACTCAGCCAGCATCACTGGCGCTCAGCAGGGTGGTAGCACCCAGCACAAACACTCCACTCCCCGACCTTTCCACCCAGCCTTCCCTAGGCCCTCTCTGACTGTGCGTATCCCTTGGGAATCAAACTGTGGGCAAAGATGCTCCTGACCAGGGGCCCCATTTTGCTCACCGGGATCGTTCCCCTAACATGGTAGGTGTTCTTGTGTCTCTCTAGTGCGAAGATGAAGGGCAGATGTTCTTCAGCCTTGATGACGGGAACACCAAATTCTCCGACCTGATCCAGCTGGTTGACTTCTACCAGCTCAACAAAGGAGTCCTGCCTTGCAAGCTCAAGCACCATTGCATACGCGTAGCCTTATGACTTCCCACATGCTCACAGCCAAAGCCCAGAGGAAGTCAACACTGGAACGAAGAAAAGGGCTGTGCGATGGTTAAGAACACACTTCTATTCTGCACCTTGGGACTTGGAGCGAGGTGGGTTTGTTCGGTGCCAATCAATCAAGATCGACTAATTTGTTGGACTTAACGAGATTTGCTGCTGGGAATCCAGCAGGATCACCTCTCTTTGTGTTGGCCAAATCGGGGAGGGCATGAAAGATCCAGTGCCGATTTGAGAATAAACTGGAATGATGGTCTTGGCTAGGCCACGCAGGAACAAGAACCGGAGAGAAGAAATCAGAAATGAACTCTTGCCCTGGAATAATCTTGACAATTAAAACTGATATGTTTACTTTTTTTGTATTGATCTTCTTGCACTCCTTCTGTGTGTTCAATATTGTATTCAGCCTATTGTAGGAGGGATGTGGCTTTTCAGTTTATACAAGACGTAAAGAGTTTTGAATGGGCAGACTCCAGACTGAACATGGGTCCCCGAGTCTTTCCAGAGGGTGGCCGGTACCCTCTGCAGTTCGCCACAGTGTGGATTCAGCGCTCAAATTACAAAGCACGCCGAGTCCTTCCCAGCGTACTTGAAAAGCTTTTTTTGTTGTTTTTGGGGTTTTTTTTAAAAATAAAAGGTGTCAAGTGCGGGAGGCGTTTGGTATGTTTTGTGGACGCAGTCAAGCAACCAGAGTCTGTTAACCGATTCTCTATGCACAGATGTCTGATCCTGTCATTATTAGCGTCTTGTTCTCCACAGTGCAGGAGATTTTATTTCCTTGGAAAATTCGGTGTTCCACAACATGCAGGGCTGAATGACCTCATTCTGGGTTGATACAGGCTGGCCCTCTTGAGATGTACCCGGTGCCCATTGTCTGCTGGCAGTGGACGCCACACAGTCCACTCGGGTATACTGTCAGCCTTGCATTTCCACAGCCTTCAGCCTGTTCTAGAACAATCACTGCCTTACCCCTCTGTGGTGGCGTGAGTTGTTTCATGGCTGGTCTCCCTCGGGGGATTAAAGGATCTAAAGAGAAAATGATACCTGGTAAGCTTTGTGCTGTGCCCTGTGTGTTTCCATGGTGATAGAGACAAGGAAACATTGCAGAAGACTCAAGCACAGGCTGGCATTTGAAGGTCTTTGCTTGACGACCTCCGTCCCGCTGAAAACCCTCATAAGCCAGCACATATGAAGCAGCCCGAGGCTCCTCTGCTGGCTTAGGGTCAGAAGTACCTCACAGTGCTTGTGGACATTGAAGAGTTTTATCCACACGACACTTGCTTCCTGCTCCGGGAGAGGAGTCAGACCGTGGCTTAAGTTGTCACTCGGTCCCCTCTGCCCCCCAGGCCGTCCCCTTTGCCATGTCCCCTTAACTGAATTATCAGATGTGAGACTGGCCTTTTCTGTACCTTTGATCTTTGCAAAGCAGGAAGGACTCCCTTGACAAGCGCGTGGACTGCTGTGGCGAGCAGGATTCCCTTTTCTGAGATGATGCCTGCGTGGCTCCTCTGAATCTGTGCTAGCCACTGGATTCCCCAAACCTGACCCACTGATTGGCTCCCTAAGGAACAGCATCTCTGCTCTTCAGTTGATGTGCGTAGTGTAGGGCAGACGCATAAGGAGCTTCAGTAAGGCCTATCAGCTATAATGAGTCTGCAGCATAGAAACACTGTATTTTAGTTTCCAGGCTATACTCTAGTTGTTTTCCATGAAATGCCTACTTATACAAATGAAGAATTTTCTAGTTAAACATGTTTTAACCATAAACGCTCAATCGCATTTTCTTCCTTTCGCAGCCAGTTAATCTTTGGGACAGTTGACAATGAGGTGACTCTCCAGTTCATCCTGGCAGCACACTCCCACTGACCATCATTTTAGGGACAGATACTTCAGTTATACCGTGAGACCTTTTTTATTTTTTCTCTTCACTTGTTTGAGGTGAAACCTCTAAAAGGAAGACAGTTCTAGGATTTTTTTTTTCTGTTTACGTAGACCAGTCCCTTCCGTGTGACCCCTGCCCCACGCCTCTGCCAGTAGACAGCTAGTATTTGCAGTATTTCGTATTTATGAACATGCGTTTTATTTAAGGGGAGAACAGAAGCTTGACTCTGATTCAAAATTTTGTATGTAGCTGGTTCGACATAGTCTTTTGTACTTTTCCAGCCGAAGTGAAATTGTTGGAGAATGTAAGCCGCCTCTGCGCGGTCACAGACTTCCTAAGACACCCCGCTCGCTGGCCTCTGTGCTGGGTAGCTGGGAATTCCATCTAGAAACAGGTCCCTGGAGCCTGCGGGCATCCAGCTCTGCAAACCAGGGCTGAAGGACAGTTGACTTTTATTTTTGTATTTAATTGACATGAATGTAAAGGGGACAGCTCAGGGTTGTTTTGGAGCCTGTTGACTTTTTATCTCTGCCTGTGATTTTCGTTTCTAAATGAAAACTCCATGTAGCAACCTGGACTAAGTCGAGAAGGAAAAAAACGCCAAATGCTTTGGGTATTAAGAGTTTAATTGGTAAGCTCTGTTCCATTAGGTGTTAGCGTTCCAGAACGTTTTTTTTTTTTTTCTTTTTTTTTCTTTTGTTTGCTAAACCTTGAAGAAACATGTGCCTCAGCCTAGATGTTTTGTCTTCTCTTTTCTGCACTTAATACCTGAAAGTGTGACCGATTGCTGCACCTTTCCAAGGGTGGACTAGCTCATTGTAGAATTGTGATGTCACAGTGCAAACGGCGGTGACCGTAAAATGGCCTGATGTGTAAACGTTTTCAGGGAATGCGAAGTGTTGATTAAGAGACAAAACCTTTATTCATGTGCTTTGCTTCGTTCTGTACATAGCTCTTTGGCTTGTGAACCTAATTGTAAACTTTCAGGTATTTTTGTACAAATAAGGGACTGATGTTCTGTTTCTTGTAATTAGAAATAAACATGAATACAGTGTTCTTCATTTTCTACTGCTCGTAATGTCTGTGTCTGTGTCTGTGTTTTTTAAGCACTCTGGCTGGTCATCCACTAAAAACCTTTGGAAATGCCTCAGAATATTAGAAACATTCTTCTTACCACGCATTAGAAACTAGCATGAGGCATTGCCAGCTGTTTGGGCTGCCTCTCAGCCCTGGCGAGACACAGGATTCTCAGCTCAGTTGTTGGTGCCAGGACAGCCTCAGTGGGCCTGCTCCCTCCCCATCCCGCCCCTACTAGAATCACAGCCCTCAGAAGGTTTCAAAGACAGATATCCATGCAGGCTTAACAAAGACCTCCAGAAACTCAGACATTTTCCTGTGGCACGCCCAATGTCATTTTTTTCCATTGCAGTGGGACAATTAAAATGTCAGGAACCTGGATTTTCTAGTCAAACAAGAAATCTGCAGAAAGATTAAGAGAATGGGTGCCCACTGTCATCACGTCCCCAGACCCTTGACTGGGGGGCCCTGATGTAGCTGTTGTCCTGTCACTTGGCCATCTCACACCTCCTCCCCACCCAGGTCACCTGCCAGCCTCGTCCAACACCGGAAGGAAGCTTGTGGGATTTGCAGACCTCCTGTCATTTGTTTTCAGATATGAATGCCCAGTTGCTGGTAGCTCCCCCCAGGAGGGCAGGTAGACCTCACAGGCAGAACAATAAGGCCAAAGCTGTCCTCGCCACGATCTCTTTAAAATGCTACAGTTGTAGGACAAGGAGAGCCCGGGGTGGGTGAGGGACCACTGCGCCAGCATCTAAGCTAGACTTCATGGTGACTCCAAAGAGTACGTGAGCTGTCACACGAGCTGTCACACAGATGGGCTGGTGGGACACAAAGAGGACACTCGGAGCACAACTTTAAACTTGATCTCACCACCTCTGTCACATTCTTCATTGGTTTTTACAACGTATTTCGAGTGATGAGTAAACTGAGAAGGGTTTTTTAATGATGAAAGCATTAGCTCATTAAATGTAAAAAGTAAAATATTCTACAACTTGTAATTTTAGTATGGTAGAAAAAAACTCAGTCCTGCCCCTTTTCATCAGGAAACACACATGGAAAACGCATCTTAAACAAAGTTGGGCTTGATCTGCAGTGTCCAGCCACGACACAGGACAGCTGGCTGCTCCCGAGGCTATTTCCGCAGGGGGAACAGCCGAGTGACGAAGGGGGTGCGTGGCTGCGGGGCTCCACACGGCCAGCAGAGGGCGCAGTGAGACAAATGCACACCCTGAGGGGGACCTGATGGATCTTTGTGGGAAAAGCAAGAAAAGGCGCGGGGTTGATTTTATTCGGTGTCTTTTTTCGCTGGGACACAATGTGCACTTTTGATGTGTGGATAGATCAGTCTTGTTTGATTTATGGAAATGTTTCTTGAATTACATCTAAGTACATTTTTTGGTCTTTTTGCAGACAACGTTGACGTGTGTGTTGGGTCCCATTCATCTTCCTCTTGTAGCATTTACTGCTTCTCAGTCCCTGTAACTCTCACACCCGCCTGGTTCGTGTTGCTGTCTAGTCCTGTCTTCCCTGTCGGTGACGCTGTCTCTGCAGAGTCCCCTCCCTTGTGCGGCTCCCGGTGTGGACTCCGCTCCCAGGACGGTTCATTTGTCTCTTCCTCTGCCTGCAGAGCTGTGCTGGTTTGCTTTGTATATTCCCTGGTCTCACAGCTCTGCTTTGAGCTTTTGTGAAGGGATGGCTTGGATTCGTTTTTGATTTTTTTTACATTCATGATATTATGTTTGGTTGCAATTTTAGTCTACTCCCTGGCAATGCTTTTTAGCAAATGCCTTTACTACCTTTTTTATTTCTATTATTTTCTCCTTTTATCTTGGGGTCACTTCATAGAAGATTGGTGCTGGGTCTTTGAAGGAGCTGAGTTCATTTTGGACTAGCATTTACAGGAAGTTTGCGTGGGGCAGAAGATACGGGCTGTGTTTGATGCCAGTGGGACCAAATAAATAAATAAACAAACCCTTATGACAAAGGCTGTGCCCGAGAATTTTGAGACCTTGACTATTCAGCCATTAAGACTGATCATCCAACCAACTCTTCTCCCACCTTTGGTCACACGTGCCTGCACGTTCAACTTTCATGCACCTTTCTCCTGAAATGACAGCTGATTAATTTACACTAGAACTACATTTTTTCCTTGGTTGTTCTATTGCAAATTAATCAGATGTCATTTTGGATAACTATAGAGGCTTGTTATTTGAAAAAATAAAAGTTATGGCACATTCTCTCACAAAATAAAAAACTCTATCATAACCATATATGAGAGCTGCAGCACATTATGCTGATGGGAGTGCAAGGGTGAGCACTGAGCCAGCCGGGAGATTTGTCTGGAAGGTGTATGCAGGACGAACGGGAAGGTAACCACAGGCAGCCAGAGAGTATGCAGCCTTCGCCTGTTCTGTCCAATATGACACTGCTAGTCACATACGACTATTTAGATTTAAATTATAACTCATTATAAAATAAAATGAAAAGTTCAGTCCCTTGGTTGCACCAGCCACATCTCGAGTTCTCAGTAGCCCCACATGGCTAGCGACTACTATTGGACAATGCAGATATAGAACATTTTCATCATTGCAGAGAGTTCTGTTGGGCAGCACTGGTCTAGGTGGCTGGTAAGGAGAGCCTAAATTACAGAGGTGGGAATGGACGATTGGAATGAGGAGAGATTCGTTTGAGAATCAGTCTCCCTGTGTCCAGCTGATGCTCTGAATCGGCAAAGCTCAGCTCTGGATTCCAGGCTGAGGTTACCTCCACTTGAGCGGCACCTCTGTCTTCTCCTGCAGGTAAGACACACTAACTTCACAACAGAATCAACTCCCTTTGTTTGCTCTGGTCTGTTTTGCTTTCTGATTATCACTGAATGCCAATGGCTTCACGTCATAGGCATATATACAGAACTCAACTGTCTGCTTAGCCCCTCTCCACAACTCCTCCAAGAAAAAGGGTGTTCCCCAGTTGGATATCAACCTACTTCATAAGCAGATGTCCTAGAGGGAGCCAGCAGTAGAAACATAAATTTTCTCTTTCCCAAGTTAGTCTCCGTTGCTGTGAGCATACTATCATTTGAGTACTTCCCCATATCAAGTGTAGTTTTATTGTTTAAATATGGAGTGTGTATATTTGTACCAGGACCCAAGATGTAAGCAGAAGCTTCATCTGGTGCATGTCAAAAGACACAGCCACCTCTTCTGCAGGAGTAGGAATTGGCTGTGCGGGACATCTCGAGAGATGGTTTCGTCCCGGGAGATTACATTTAAAACAGGAATCATTCTGAGTAATTCAGAACTAATCTTGACGAAGTATAGTGGGTGTTTCTGTTTATTAGTTAAGATGTGAGGATTCACCCAGCCAGCTAGTTTCAAGATTGTGTAATTCTTGGCACATTTCTTAGTTGTGGGGAGGAGGCTTGCATTATTTTTTATCTTGTGTAGAGAGTGAAATGTTACTAATATTTTGTCACTGTACTATTTCAATTTTGCATAAAATATGAATGTACTGTACCATATTTTATGTGTGGATTAAGGTACTTTCTCAGGTAATTTTGAAAATAGATGATATCCTTCTGCAGTGCGGAGCCCTGCTGCACGGTTGGACCCCTCAGTCTGTACCAAACTTGCTTTTCTAACACTTTCTCTCCAAAATGGGTACCTTTGGTATGATGCAGTATAGATACGGATCCCCACGTGATCTGGTGTAGCCCCCACTGGGAGAGAGAATTTTGGAGGCCATCCAGAGAACCAGGCTGGTGTCTTCCTCCGCCATGTGGTAGCAGCACAACCAAGGGACCCCTTTCACACACCTGTGAGAGGACACTGTTGGATCAAGGCAATGTACTCCAGCCACCCACTCCTCAGTCACCTGCAGGGCTCTGCAAACCTGTGAGCCTCACACCTGCTTAAGGCCTGGGAATGAGCATCTTTGGCTTGGCAACAATGGTGTTTTCTGGCAGAGCAGCACAAGTGGACAGGATCATCTCCAATTCACACGAGCTCCAGTAATTAGGATTCATGCATTTGCTTCATCCTTACCCCTCCCCAGCCATCAGAGACTCCTAGCTTCTAAGTTAGTGCTGGTGGCGGTACGTAGTGTGATGGAAGAGGCTGAGGATTCAGTGCAAACGTCAGGTTGTGGGGTGAGCAAGGGCTCCTGGCCACTGCCACTCGCCACAGGGAAAGGAAGACAGTCAATTTGGGTCGATCACCAGGTGTGGACCTGTCTCCCGATGCCTGACCGGGGCACCTTCCACGGCCTCCATCCCCTCCTTACAGCTGAGGGCTTCACAGAACCTAGCAGTGGCTTCACAATCACCTTAACCCTATAACTAGGTAACTCAGCACAGGGGCTGTGTGCAGCCAGGGCTCCCTCTTGCCACCCTGGATGCCCCCAGCAGGACACCCTGCCAGCCTTGCCCCTTCTCCTGGCCTTCCTCCTTCCTGTGCACATTTGCAAAATGGTGTTTCTAACACCAGCCCTTTCCATCTCCCAGGTCAGACACAAGATGATACGTGTGAACCCCAACTTAGTCACAGGAAGGCTGATTATAAATAAAAGTAGGTGAGCAGATCACTTTGTCTTTGATCAGGCATCAAAGTGGCTTAAGACAGCACTAGGCCAGCAGGTCCCCAGGTGGGGGACGTGGGTCCTGCTGGCACACCAGAGATGTCCTCTCTCACAGCTAGAGATAATGCAAGTAACAGAAGCAGGGACTTCCCAGAAGAAAAACTGCACACAGCTAAGGAACATTTAAATACAATTTATTAATTAAACAAAAATAAGTACAGGAGTAGCTGGTTGTCATAAGAGTTGCCTTCTCTGGCTCATATATCCTTGTTTAATCCTCACTTTCATATTTTACAAATCTTGAACTACTTTATTTCCATAGAAAGAGATTATCTCTCTTTAGAGGTTTTGGAATTTTTGATTACAATCTACAGTAAGAAATGCATTTTAATTGTAACCCAGTACACATATACATGTACATAA